AGGCGGGATCTATACCTCGGAGGTCGGTCGAGGCAGAGCCTAGCCCTCGGGGCGAGCGAGGCGGAGTCTATACCTCGGGGGTCGGGCGAGGCGGAGTTTGGACTTTAGCACGTCGGGTGAGGGGGAGCCTAGCCCTCGGGGGTCGAGGCGAGGCGGAACCGATCTTCCATCGTTCGGGCGAGGCGGAACCGATCTTCCGTCGTTTGGAAGAATCAGCGTCCGGTGGTTACTAGTACCACCTCGTTGGGTACCCCGGTATTAGGTCCCCGACAAGTGCATAGATGGTGCATGAGACACTTTGCCGCTAATTTCTAGTGACGTCAGAGGAAGCAGGAGGTATGTGACAAGGTAAAGGCTCTATGTTGTGTATATACAGAGCTCCAATTCAAGTAAACAAAGAGAGAACTAGATAAGATGATAAATGAAGCGGGAAAGGCCTGGTTAGAGGCGCAGATGGAACAGAAGGCCCAGTGGGCGTTAGCATATGACGAGGGGGATTTCAGATATAGCATCATGACCACTAACTCTTCGGAGTCCTTCAACCGTGTGTGCACCAGAGTTGCCTGTGTCTGGAGTTGTTGAGTTATCCTTTCATAAGTGCAACGAATATTTTGTCAAGAGGTAGGAACTTGCGCAGAGGAATATAGCTGAGCAGGGGCGTTTTGGAAAGGCCGGAGCAGAACATTTGAAGGAGGCCGATGAATTGGCCAAGTAGCACACCGTCGAGCCGTATGGACCCCACCGCCATATCTTTGGTGTACGGGGCAAGGGTGGCACAAGCTTGGGCGGCGAACGTTATGGTGGACGAAACTACCGAGTTGATCTTGAAAAAGTAGAGTGCAGTTGCAACGTCCCTCAGATCATACATGCCCCTTGCTCTCATATGGTCATGGCCTGTAGGGTTCGCGGGTACAACTATGAGGATCTGCCATATATGTCACCCTTGTATCTACGTTCGAACACCATTAGTATTTGGGAGATGAGCTTCGAGCCATACCTTGACCCGACACAGTGGCCACCTTATAATGGTTATGACTACGTGCCGCATCTGGATCTAATGAAGATAGGGAAGGGTAGGAGGAAGAAGAAGTGATTTAAGGGGGACATGGACGCTATGAGAGGGTACGGCGAAGACATGTATGGAGGGGGAGACTTCAACGAGACATGTGGCAGTAATCTTTGCTCTGTTTGCAAAGACTCTGGTCACAAGGCTAGCAGTCATAGAAGACGAGGGCAGCAGGTCCATATATAGAAGTCGCTTATTTTTCTAGTAAAGTTATTTAATATGTTTGTTAATGTTACTTTGAATATATACATGTGCTTTCATATTGTGTTCGTATTGCATAACAAATAGTTCAAATTTTGCAATGCTACATAATGTTAATTTGAATACTCTAACCCTTTGTTTATCAATTTGTAACAGGATGGCCCCTCCCACACAGCACCAGTTGTACCCCTTCTTGAGGTGAAGTACGACGACCCGCACCGAGCACGCTTCTTGACTGACACCGACGCAGAGGTGCCCTTGCTCCACACCGACGTTGGCTACACTCCCACTGTGTTGCCTACAAATCCGAAGAGACAGAGGCGTCCAAGGGATCCTTACACTCCTGGAACTTAGTTGGTTATGTCGAACTTATGTCGAACGAATATTATCGTCCGAAACTCGCAGACTCATAAACCAATAAAAATGTTATGTGGCAACTTGTCAACTTGCGCACGGACTCCATTTATTTGCTTCATATTCGTTTTAATGCGTCGTGGCAGCACTTGTAGTTGTTTACAGCACCGACAGCAGCTCCCGTTCAATTGGAATTGAGGCTGGTCAGCTACTGTCAGCGTCCAGGTCCTGCCGCGTTGTGGGCCTTGGCGCGTCACTGCCGCACCGTGGGTTATGGCACGGCATAACCTGGGCTTCGGGTTGCGTGCCAAACGAGAACATCGATCTGCCAAACGTGCCACGCCGTGGGTCTTGTTATTTTACATTGATCTGATGCTAATAACATAAATTACACGATACTATTTTAAAATACATGGGAAACATGCAAGATATATATGCCAGCCAACCGTATTCGAAATAATTTCACTCGATTTTGTTCGTTTTAGAAATTCTCAACGCATTCGTTGTTATTAAAAAAACTTGGATGCATCGGAGAGCGACAAACGGATGGGTCGGAGGGTGACAAATGGATGGGATCACTTAAGATCGACCATGGGTAATCTGAGGACATGATACATGGGTACAATACATCAATAATTCAAAAGAAAAACAAGATAACACAATGAAAGTTCTAGTACATAGCTACATTGATCATTAATAAAGCATGGAACTAACAGACGGCGTAATAAAAAACCCTCAGTCAAAAACATATTGAATAAGCAACTCGTCATCCGAGTACCAATCCTCTACCACAACCCTATTGTTGTGGCTAGGGTCACCTGCATTGCCCTGATCTGCCTTTCGCCTGTAGTAAGCGGCCTCCACTTCATCTACGGCCTCTGCGGCCTGAGTGAAGAACGCGTCGTCATCCTCCTCCGCCTGCAAGCCCACCTCTACTAGAGTGATGAGCTCGCTCAATGCCAGTGTCATCCTCAGCCTCCTCCGCCTGCAAGCCCGCCTCTGCTAGAGCAATGAGCTAGCTCAATCTGGCAGTGTCGTCCTTATCCTAGCCCCCCTCATCCGACAATACAATCGGTGATTGAACGGTGCGATCAGCTCGCGTTCTGTGCTCATCTAACTTCTTTTCCTCATACCTTGCATGAGCCACCTCTCCATCATGGTCCTCGCTGCATCCAATCTCTTCATGTATAAAATGTAATCAATTAGCAACGCGATTATATTATATTTAAAATCAGGCAACGAAAAAATGTCTTTGAAGCACTCACTGGCACATAATGCAACAACATGCTCGTTCAAGACCTGCATCTGTACTCTTGTCTCCTCCCTTGCCTCCTTGCTTGCTCTCTCCTCCTCTAACACCCTATGTCTCTCCAATCCCCATTTGTTAAGCCCAATAACGATTGGGTTACGAATACCGCGTTGTCTAGCAAACTCACGCATCTTGTCTTTGTGATGTTTAACTAATAGGTTGACGTAGTCAGGTCCATATCCCCTCTTCCGTGTAATTACTTGCCTGCCCTTCAGTTCCTCCAAGAACTTAGCTTGACCATCATAACATTCCCACCTGTATTTCCTAGTGCTCTGTTCAAACGAAAAATTATATCATATGTCTTAGCAAAAGAAACAAAATACAATTTTATGTTTACCACAAAAATAACCAACCTTATCATAGTCAACCATATGGCCGCAATAATGGCCTATTCCAAGCTTCGAAGGGACTAGGCCATAGTTGGATTTAACACCACATTCGTACATGACAGGAGGTGCTTTGTAAATTACTCTTTCTTTCTTCTTTTCCTTAACCTTTGATGGTTCTTCTAGCCATTGGTTCTTAGGACCATATAACCACTCCTTAAAATGACACTTCGCCATTGAAAACACCTAAATAAGGTGACATTAGTGCTCTCGTGGATGTCGCCTTCTCCACCAATCGTCTAAAAGAAGGTACCTAGAGTCAAATTTGTCTGCATCGTTGATCCACTGAAAGAAAAAACACCTCTTATGGACCTACACAATAAAATTCCAATAAAATATTAGTAACCTAGTAATACAAATGAAAAAACATAAGAAAACAATTATTTACATTAAAACGACTGTATGTGTAAAAGCAACGAGCCGCTGTGTCCGGATGTCTTGATTGAAATACGTCGGCCGGACGACCATAGTCACAGTTAGGGACATGGAGGTCAGGAGGAACGCAGGGGCATCTTTACTAGACTCGTCGGGGTACAATTCTCTAGGATGACCCCATTTTCGCCACAACTGCTTCCGAAACATATCTTCCATCTAATAAAACTATTCAAATTAAACATCAATCAAAACAATGCAAATTAATGTTAAATATAATTATTTGCATTGCAACTCAAATTATATAACCAACACTTATAGCAATAAAAATGTACATGGTAAATATACTTCTAACTAAATAATTAACCTTAACATCGACAAAATCAAATTAATATCTTCCTCCAAACCATAGCCCATAGTTTTTAAACATAATTTTTCTCCTAACTTTAACTCCCATTCATAATATTTCAATCCACCATTCAAACGAAAATAAAAAGTGCGTCATTACCTTGAACGAGGACGAGGAGGGAGGGCGGTGGCCAGGGAATGGAAGGCAAAGGAGGGAGGGAGGCGGCAACAGAGGGCCGGACGCCGACAGCACTTGGGAGTGGCGGGTAGGCGAGGCAGGCGGGAGGGATTGGGCCACGGGCCTTTATCTGGCTCTGCCGCGCCACCGATCAGGGCGCGGTAGAGCCGCGCCAAGATCGGTGGCACGGCAGACCCTGCCACGTCACCGGTCAGCGCCCCTTTCGTCGCCACGTCATCCCTCTCGCCGCGCCACCATGCATGGCGCGGCACAGGCGTTTCGCCGCGCCAGGAAAATAGGCGCGGCCAAAAGTGTTAGTTTTGGGGGGAATTAAACAGTGTTAGATTTAAAATTAGTTTACAAAAAATATAAAAAAAAAATCCAGACAGCAGTGGCCATGTCCACATAGCTGCAACGGGGCACAGATCGCGCCGGCACATAAGATCCTGCGACGTCGCCATCGCCTGTGGTGGCTGAAGTGAAGGCAACGATCCTCGCCTTTCGCCAACAATATCCTGCGGGAAAATATCGTCCAAGGAAATCCGGGCCACGCGCTGCGATTGGCTGCGGAGGCTCCACGCTGGTGTCCGGGCCCACCCCCTTATCCTATCTCCGTGGCGCTCCTCGCTCCTCGGCCCGGGTATAAGTACCGCGGGTGAACTCGCCGCCATTCACCGTCTCCGAACAGAGTCACTTCGCCACGAACAGCAGCGCATCTCAGTCGCTGTCGTCGTCCAGCTGAACTCGGCTAGCTAGCTACGCTCCAAGCTCCCCGCACCACCGGCCATGGCCCTGCAGGCGGCGTTCCTACCTTCCGCTCTCTCCGTCCCCAAGAAGGGCGGCCTCGCCGCCGTGGTGAAGGACACGGCGTTCCTTAGCGTCCCCCAGAAGGTCAGCCACAGTCAGTTGCTGTATTGCTCATTTGCACGCAAAATGTGCTTGAACATATCATTGACAATTGACATGATTTTTATCGTGAGCATGAATGCAGAAGCTGCAGGCGGCGTCGCTGTCGGTGCGAACGCAGGTGGCGACGGCGCCTGTGTCCACGCCGGGGTCCAGCACGGCGGCCAAGGACGGAAAGAAGACGGTGCGGCAGGGCGTGGTGGTGATCACGGGCGCATCGTCGGGGCTGGGCCTGGCGGCGGCCAAGGCGCTGGCGGAGACCGGCAAGTGGCACGTGGTGATGGCGTGCCGCGACTTCCTCAAGGCGGCGAAGGCGGCCAAGGGCGCCGGCATGGCGGACGGCAGCTACACCATCATGCACCTGGACCTGGCCTCCCTCGACAGCGTGCGGCAGTTCGTCGACAACTTCCGCCGCGCCGGGATGCCGCTCGACTCGCTCGTCTGCAACGCTGCCATCTACCGGCCCACGGCGCGGACGCCGACGTTCACGGCGGACGGGTACGAGATGAGCGTGGGCGTCAACCACCTGGGCCACTTCCTCCTGGCGCGCCTGCTCCTCGACGACCTGCAGCGGTCCGACTACCCGTCCCGCCGCCTCATCATCCTCGGCTCCATCACCGGCAACACCAACACGCTGGCCGGGAACATCCCGCCCAAGGCCGGGCTGGGCGACCTCCGCGGCCTCGCCGGCGGGCTGCGCGGCCAGAACGGGTCCGCCATGATCGACGGCTCCGAGAGCTTTGACGGCGCCAAGGCGTACAAGGACAGCAAGATCTGCAACATGCTCACCATGCAGGAGCTGCACCGGCGGTACCACGAGGAGATGGGCATCACGTTTGCGTCGCTCTACCCGGGCTGCATCGCCACCACGGGGCTGTTCCGCGAGCACATCCCGCTCTTCCGGCTGCTCTTCCCGCCGTTCCAGAAGTTCATCACCAAGGGGTTCGTGTCGGAGGCGGAGTCCGGCAAGAGGCTGGCGCAGGTCGTCAGCGACCCCAGCCTCACCAAGTCGGGAGTGTACTGGAGCTGGAACAAGGACTCGGCGTCGTTCGAGAACCAGCTGTCGCAGGAGGCCAGCGACCCGGAGAAGGCCAGGAAGCTCTGGGAGATCAGCGAGAAGCTCGTCGGGCTTGCCTGAGCTTGCCGCGGCGACGGCGACGGCGACACGACGCTTGGTGGAGGTGGAGGCGCGAGCGTGCCCTGTCAACGCTAGCTCGTGACGTCGTCACGGGGTTGGTGATGACTCTGTCGAGCAGAGCAGCAGCTTTTGCTTCGTTGTTTGATCGATGTGTACCATTAGCAACCATTTTGTTTCGGCCTGATCGTTTGTTTATAAATCGTATTTTTTTAGTTAATGAATAATATTTTTCTCTCATAATAAATCAGTTAATAATACTTTCAGTCATAATTTATCAATCAAGCGAATGACATTTATTGTTAGAAGGTGGTAATGACCGTCAGACAAGAGCCTGTAATTGTTCGATCATGCATTGTGTACAATTTTTTTTACAAACCATGAAATAAAATAACAGGCTTAATATCTGTGTTTTTTTCAACAAACAATATCAGAAGACTGGTTTGATATATAAGAGCATTTCTAAGAGTACTCAATATTTTCTTCCTAAAAACATAAAATTTTACAACTCCTAAAAACTATTGAAAGAGATAAAGAAGACCATCTTCAAGAGTTTCTAATAATCTACTCCTAAAATATAGAAAGACAATTTTACATCAGAAATCCTATACTATTTCTAAATTACCTAACCACTTTTATACATTCTTTCTCTTTTGTACATTTGCATTAGGAACCATTTTCTACTCTTTATTCTTTTGACGCCCCTCCGCCTTTAGATTGGTCGACAAACACACGTGGGAGAGAGAAGATACGCGTGACCAAGGTGATTTTCCTAACTTCTAAAATGATTAGGAGGATGGATTAAGAGTTGTTGCCCTGTTTGCTTGGCTTATAAGCCGTACTTTTTTCAGCCAACGAACAATATTTTTCTCTCACGACAAATCAGCCAACAACACTTTCTGACATGGCTTATCAGCAAAACGAATATAGCAATGGTTTTTTTTTCATCTTGCTAAAAAATAAGGATTAGAAAGGGATTTAGGGAACTCTCGGAGATGCTCTAAGAGGCAAACTACTTTAAAGAAAGGAAAGAAAAAAAAATGCAAACTTACTTGTCTAGTAGGCAATAAAATTAGGAATGGCCCATTTTTCAGATTGAATACAATGATTTTTACTTATACAAAAAAATTTGTAATAAGGTTATTGATTCTACATAAGCAATAATGAACTCAAGGCAGTAGAAATACATTGGTTGCTGCAAATCCAATCAAAAGCCCCTTTAGCACTAATTAACTTATTGGCTAGAGAGAGACAAGGACAAGAGTATCTCGTGGGTCAACACACCCTTCTTTTTTTTATGCCAATCTCAACGTGGATTTTATAGAGTTTTATGGACATTAAATACGCTCACATGACACTATATTAATAAAGAGAGAGATGATGAATATTTTATGTGAGTAGAGTTGCACTGTTTTCAAAATATGTGTGCCTTGAAAACTGAGAAATGAAACTCTCACTAAAACTGGGCTTAGGAAAAAAAGTCTCAATCTAACTTTACAATTTAGACAAGAGAAAAGACAAGGGGTTTAGATATTTTGTCTAGGATTCTCATCTTCCAATCTAACTCTATCAAGGGTTTTAGAAGCTTCGAGAGATTTTTGTTGTTTAAAAAATATTGTTAGATGTTTATTAGATTTTTCTAGAAAAGAGTTACTTTTGAACAAACCCACACGAGACGGTATCCATTTCTATTTCTATTGGTAGAGAAGGAAGGTACAATCCTTAGGAACAAAGCAAAATTAAAAATTAAAAGCTAATTACTTTATTAAAAAAAGATGATATTGTGTTGAAAACCACATCTAACTAGAGCTGAAAGATAATAACCAGTTTTGAGAGTCGAGGGAGATAATTTGTCCAGTTTTAGGGTTTAAGGATAAAACCTGAACTCCGATAGCAAATAGTCCAGGGTAAAAAATGACATTTTTCTTTTTTATATTTAATGTCAAGTAAAGGTTTGCTTGAAACAAAGAAATGTAGAGCATAAAAATAAGAGAAAATAGAGGATTAGAAAACACATTAACTTTATAGCAACGTGTGTTTAGAACATGGGATATGATTAGTATAGACATTTTAGAGTTAGCTGCAAACTCAACTGCTAAGAAGAAACTTAGCAGTAAATACTTTGCAGGAATGCTAATTTTCGAGCGCGCACGATCCGATGGTGCGACATGCACACCGTCGCGGTTTGTCTGATTCGTGGGTGGAAACCGCTCGGCCGTCCGATTCTCGCGACCCCACCGGATGTTGCGCAGGCACTCCTCGGCTGTCGTGGTAACCTCCCCGAAGGCCACTCGTGCTCTCCCTGGCGATCGCATGCTCTCTCCCGGGCGGCCACGCAACCCATCTTCAATGCCCGATGCCAGCGTCCACGCGCCTGCGCCTAACCGCGGCTTCTTCCCTAACTCCGGCGAGCTCCCCCCCTCTCCCTCTCTCTCTCTCTTCTTCCCCAACTTCGGCGGGCTTAGAAGAGGCTCGGGGGAGGCAGGGCGGCCATGTGGTGGGGATGGCGGGAGGGCGGCATAGGAGGTGGTCGGGCCAGCGGTGCGGGGCTCCCATGGCCAATGCAGCGATGGGAGGGGGGAGGGGAAGGAGGAGGTCGCCGCGGGTGGTGGGCATTGGCGGGGGCGAGGACGAGGAGGAGGGCAGTGCTGGGAGGTGGGCGACGCGGCCAGCGGCGAGGGAGATGCTAGCCGGGGGCGGCAGGGGAGGAGGCGGCATGGGGGAGGAAGGGGTCGCGAGAAGGAAGACGAAGGAGGCGTGCGGGCGAAAGTTTCTACACCTACGCACCTAGGCCATAGCGGTTCCAAGGTTTTAAATCTCCGGCTACAGCTGTTTAAGAATGATTTAGCTAAGTTTTTCTATATATAAGTTTGCCCTTAGCTGCCGCTATACATAGCTAAATGGTTTAGCCAGCTATTTAAAACATTAAACAGTTCCCTACTTTTTTTTCCTTTTACAAAGCTATAGATCATTTGAAGACGTGATGCATAGAAGATGGCACATAGTCTAGCATATCCCTGCTTTGCGTCAGTATGAGTTGAAGCCATTTCTTTTTTTATCTTGCTTACTAGAGTTTAGAAATCTTTTGTTCGTTTAGTGGGAATTAGAGTTTTGGTAGGAGGGGATAAGAGTTTAGAAGGCCAATAACTCCTACTAATTAATTCCTTAGGGTAGGGGTGATAATTGGGTGGAAATTATATATTCTTGTATACTAAAAGAAAATTACATCATCATCGTTTATCATGATTTGCCATATAATTTTCCGCTCAGAACCCTCACATTAAACAGGGTTATGAATTCCCTCTTCAACTTTGTCTTATCTCCCTCCCTCCAGGGCCTGCTGCTGTGCTGTCTGTCCATGGCGCTTCAGCAACCTTTTCTGTGGTTCATTTCTCTTTTTTTTTGAGAATTTTCTTTTTTTTTAGCAACAATTTTTTGAGAATTTTCTGGTTCATTTCTATGATCTTCCTTTGGAATTCCCCCAGTCCAGACAGGCCCTAATTGGCCACGGCCCCACGGCCCACGTTCCAAGGCCAAACCAGGCACAGCCCCATTTTCGCCGCAGCCGTTGGCCGGCATTGCCGCGCGCTGGCCGTTGTCCACTGCATCGGGCCTCGGCTGCCGTCGCCTTCCGCCCCGTCCTGGCGCAACCCCTCCTCGCCGCGCCGGCACGCCGCCCGTCTTCGTCTCATCTCGTCGGCTCTCTTCCTTCCTCCATCCCTCCCTCCAGGGCCTGCTGCCTCTCCATGGCGTGGATCTGGATGGTCCTCGCGGCGGGAGCCGTGCTCCTGTGGGCGATCTCTCTGGGGCGGATCCTCTCCAACTCCTCTCCGTCCTGTGTGCCCCTGAGCCCGCAGTTCATGCCCCCTCTCCGCGGCGACAGGAGGAGCCGGAACGTGCTGCTCGTCGTCGCCCACCCCGACGACGAGTCCATGTATGTTAGTTCTCCTTGTGTTTTGGATGCTCAATTGCCATGTCTGTGGAACGTCTGCTCAGTTCTAGTTTGATATGTTGCTTGATTCTTATCGCTTTCTCATCTTTTGTGTTGCTACAGGTTCTTTGCTCCAACTATTCTTTTCCTCAAGTCAAAAGGTCACAGTATTCACATTCTGTGCATGTCTCCAGGTTAGATGGCAAGCAACTGACGCTGTATGTTTATTTCTGTTGGCATGTACATTTGGTTATCTGAGCTCAGCACAGAACAGGAATGGCCATTGTAATGTCTGCTAGGATGCATCATAAAACTGTCATAGGTAACCATGATGTCGGTTTACTGTATGCTTGAGAGCACACTCCAGATATTCATCTCTGATGCAAGCACGGTGCTTAAACATGCAGTGCCACTGTGTACACATGATTTTTAGTGAGTTACCAACGAAGTAAAAATAATACTCTGCACATCTCAAGTGCTATGGAAGCTTTTAGCAATATAAGTTTAATAGTATTTTTCCCCTGACACGTGAACAATAAATCAAATCACCCATAACAAACTTACTCCTTCCACAGGTAATGCTGATGGTCTCGGAAATACTCGTAAAGAAGAATTGTACCATGCCTGTGAAACCCTTAAGGTACTCATTTTACCCTCAAAGAGCAACCTTTGTACAGTTCCTGAAGCAGCTCATGTCATTACAGATTCCACATGAACAAGTTAAAGTTTTGGACCACCCGAAATTGCAGGTACTTTATTTTGAGTCCATACTTGCATACTTCTACATACTGTTTGAAAACCATGTGATCTTGGCCCTATATATTTCATAGGATGGATTTCATGAGAAATGGGACCATGGACTAGTAGCAGAACTTACCATGGAGCATGTCCAACTATGGGCCATTGACACGGTGGTGGCTACATCTCAGAGACCTTATGAACTTCAAAATACATTGCATTTTTAGTATGCTATCTGCTTTTCCTCTCACCCGTATTAAGTTACCTCGTGCCATTGATGCTTGTTTCTTCGATCCTCCAGGTTATAGTGTTGAAGTAACATGAGTAGTTAAAGTACACAAATGTGCCAGTCTGCATTTTGTGTACTATACAAGACATGTTTACAAAGGAATTCTCACCCAAGTCACCAGTTCTCCTTTTTTTTGTTTACTTCTCCTGAATAATTTAGCAAATGACATATATTGGGGTTATGCTTGTTCTATATCATTTCTTTTCTTAAGAAAAGACACTTGTGACTACAGTTTGCGAACTGTGCTTAAAATCCTGAGAATGAATCCTTGCTATCTGATACATTTTAATAAATTTCCATAATTTTCAAATCTCAATATGATTTCCTTGCTAATAGTCACGTAGTACTCTATACCATATTCAGTTGCTTTACGCCTTTACCTTCATTTACTACATAACTAAAAAAAATCTAGTTTTTTTTCTTCCTTTGATGGCCGCTGCTTACTGATGCAATATTTGATGCCATTTTAGATCGTGACATTTGATTCATACGGCGTATCAGGCCATCCAAACCACAAAGATGTTCATCACAGCATATGGTTAGTTCAGTTATCTGGTATAGCACTGCATGATTAGCCACATGCATGAATCACTGAAATTGTTTGTTAACATTGGGATTCTGGTATGTTGGGCATCAGGCCTGTTGTTCTTTGACTGTGACTGTGCACAGCTTGTTCTCATTTCATTTACTTGTTCATTTTTATACTGCACATATGCATGTCACATTTATGAGATAGTTTTGCATTTTTATCACTCAGAGTCTAAAAAACTTTATTTCTATATGAACAGCAAGTTTCTCCATGCGAACAGGCAGGGGAATGTGGAAGCTTGGGAACTAGTAAGTTTCTTCCCTTAAATCCTTCGACAGCCTTATTATTTGGATTTACTTCTCAGACCGATTTTCACTTTACCGAGGAAGAGAATATGTGTGTTACTTTGTTGACTTTGTCAGTGCTATGTTTAGCAGCCTACATTGCCATCTCCTTTTGGTTGATGACTTTGTTTTTTTTATAATATATATTTTTCAGAGATTTTGCTATTTTATGAATGAACATCATTTCTGTATTGCTAAACTTCATGGTCACCTTATCTTTACTTTACCTTTTTTTTTGGGTCTTGATTGCACCATGTTTTTCCTTCTTGCTAGAAGAACACATTAGTGTGGAGGAAAGATGATCCATGTTGGATTATTTGTAAATGCAGGCAAGCCTGAATATTCTTCGCAAGTACAGTGGTCCGGTTGACATTTGGCTTTCTTCGTTGATCTCCTTCTCAAGGTCAAAACAGTCAATCTATACTCTAGTTAACAGTAGCCCGTCCAGAAGCTATGAGGCAATGGCTGCACACAGAAGTCAGTGGGTTTGGTAAGTCTAAGAGTGTATCATATTTGCATTTTCATGGAGAAAGCATTGTTTCTGCCAACTTGAATAGACGCTGGAGATCAATCCACTTATAGCCTCTATAATTTCATAACGAAGTTTCTGATTGCATCGTATTTATATAGTTCCTCGTACTATATCATCACCAACATATAATGAGTCACTGACTTACTGATTGCGGCCAATATATCATCAAAGACGGCATCTCTCAACACCTTTCCTGTATCAGGAAAAATAGGGACCATGTTTAACTCAGTAGTTAGGGAATGTCTTTTTTCTCGTAGGGAATCTCTTTTCTGAATTGAAGATTATCAACAGATTCCATGTGTCTTTGCAGGTTTAGAAGATTGTTTGTCATGTTCTCGAGTTACACATACATCAATATGATACAGAAAATTTAACATGTGATGTGACGTCATATCAGAGCAAGCCGCAATTGTCGTCTCCAATGTCGCACTTGTGTATTGTCAACTGTATGTGTCAATGGTTTTTAGTTGTAGAATCTCTATAGGCAGTGCTCATAAGGTGACTGTAGGTCTTCTTATTCCCAATTCTGTACTATAATATATTTGTAAGTTCTTGGCACTGAATGATTGAAATACAGTCAATCAGTATTGGAGTATACTCACCGGCTTGGCTTATGGGTGTGGTCAAACGATGTCTAATTCGAGTTTGACGTCCTTGACGAGCTGACCTGTTAACTAGTCCCTTTTTTTTTTGAAACTGCTAACTAGTCCCTTTTGTACTACTGCTTCTGTCCCAAAGGATGCAATTCTAGTTTTGGACCGAGTCAAACTTAAAATATATTAGCATTTGTGACTCTAAATAGGTATACTATGAAAATATATTTTATGATTAGTCTAATATAATATTTATTCGGTATTATACATGTTAGTGATTTTTTGTTAGTTTTGATCAAATTTAAAACTGTCTGACTCTTTTAAAAACAAGAATAAAAAAAAAAAAAAATGTAATCTTTTGAAACGAATGGATTAGCTCCCACTGCAAGAGTCCAAAATAGCTAATGGAACCAGACATCTTCAAGAAAATACATACCCCTCCGCTGAAGGTCTTGGTTCACAAATCACTGAGAACCAAGGGTGGGAAAGACGCCCTATTTGAAAACACAGACCCCAACGCGATGAGTTGAACGACGACCAAATCGCGTGTCGCGAGAAGTACACGATGAACCTATTAAAATCTTCTTCCTTCGTCTTCCTCCTCCGTCCTCAGATCCACCATTGCCTAGTCCACTAATAGCACCATCCAAGAGGAACCGAAACCTCTTGCGATTTGGGAGCTGGGAAGAAAGCGCGGGAAGACGGAGCAGAGCATGATGCTTCCGAGCGCCGAGCTGTCGGCGTCCAACGGCGGCGGCAGCACCTGTGGCCTGGTAGCCCTGCCGGACTTCTTGGGCATGAAGAGCAAGTACGTGCGCATGGACGACGTCCTCCCTCCGGAGCATGAAGGCGAGGACGGCGGCGTCCGTGTCCGTGAGCGCCAGAGCAGCAGGAGACATGTCTTCGCCTGCTCCGTCTTCGCCTCCCTCAACTCTGTTCTGCTCGGCTACGGTAAATTTCCTCTTCTCGACTTCGGCAGGAAGTTTTTCGATTGAAAAGTAGTAGAGGAAGAAAATTTCGATCATGATTTGGCTTTTCGTAAGAGTTTCTTAGCGATCGACTGTGCGTAGGATTTGGAGATGGTTAGCCCTGAATCGTGTTGACTTTCCCCTTGTCATGACAATGGCTGCTGCTTCTTGTTAACTGTTACTGTTAGCTTGCTAATGAAGTTTCATAATTCACACCCAAATGTCAGATGTTGGTGTGATAAGCGGTTGCATTCTGTTCATTCAGAGGGATCTTCACATCAACGAGGTGCAGCAGGAGGTCCTGGTGGGCTGCCTCAGCTTCATCTCCCTCCTCGGCAGCCTCGCCGGCGGGAGGACGTCGGACGCCGTGGGCCGGAAGTGGACCATCGGCCTCGCCGCCGTCGTCTTCCAGGCCAGCGCGGCCGTCATGACGCTCGCCCCGTCCTTCCGGGTGCTCATGGTGGGCCGCCTGCTGGCCGGCGTCGGCATCGGGTTCGGCGTCATGATCGCGCCGGTGTACATCGCCGAGATATCTCCTGCGGCGTCCAGGGGCTCCTTTACGTCATTCCCGGAGATCTTCATCAACCTCGGCATCCTCCTCGGGTACATCTCCAACTATGCCTTCTCGGGCCTCCCCGACCACATCAACTGGCGCGTCATGCTCGCCATCGGCATCCTGCCGTCCGTGTCCATCGCCTTCGCGCTGCTCGTGATCCCGGAGTCGCCGCGGTGGCTGGTCATGCAGGGAAGGGCCGATGAGGCGCGCGCCGTGCTCCTCAAGGTCACCGACACCGAGGACGAGGCTAAGGAGAGGCTCGCCGAGATCGAGGCTGCTGCGGCGGCTACGACCGTCGCCGCCGGCAAGTACGGCGACAGGAACAGGACGGTGTGGCAGGAGCTGTCGAGGCCGTCCCCGGTGATCGCCTGGATGCTCGTCACCGGCGTAGGCATCCAGTGCTTCCAGCAGATCACGGGCATCGACGCGCTGGTGTACTACAGCCCGACCATATTCCGGGACGCCGGGATCACCACCGAGCGCCAGCTCCTCGCCGCCACGGTCGCCGTCGGGTTCTTCAAGACTGCGTTCATCGCGCTGGCCATCGTGCTGATCGACCGCGTCGGCCGGAAGCCGCTGCTGTACGTCAGCACGGTTGGCATGACCGCCTGCCTGGCGGCGCTGTCCGCCGCGCTCTTCCTGCAGGCGCGTGGGTCGGTGTCCCGCGCCGCCGGTGTCGGCGTCGCCATCCTGACGGTGTGCGGCGACGTGGCCTTCTTCTCGGTGGGGATAGGGCCCATCTGCTGGGTGGTGAGCTCGGAGATCTTCCCGCTGCGGCTGCGCTCGCAGGCCGCGGCGCTGGGGGCCGCGGCGAACAGGGTGACCAGCGGCGCGGTGGCCATGTCGTTCCTCTCTGTCTGCCGCGCCATCTCCGTCTCGGGCGCGTTCGCCGCCTTCGCGGCCATTTCGGCCCTCTCGGTGGTCTTTGTGCATAGGTTTGTGCCGGAGACCAGCGGCAGGACGCTGGAGCAGATCGAGTCTCTGTTCGGCGGCGGGAGCTGGAGCTCGGCGATGTGGAGCAGCTGGTGCACAAGTGACGAGTAGCACTGCAGCAGCTAACTTCGTCGTCGTCGTCTCTGACGAGGTTTCTTGGGTAGGTTGAGCTTGAGCAGGCTTTGCTACTTCGTCGTCGTCTCTGACGAGGTTCAGGATGCCAGCGTGAGAAAGCAGGGCCCAGACATGGGTCAGGAACTCCCCACCATTCTCAAGCTGTCGCATGTGTTCCTTGGCAGTAATGTGCGAGGGCGCAATGTAGATGATCGTCTTGGCCCAGAAATATGCCATTGCCTTCCAACGCTGTGCTTCATCCGGCATGTCGTCCTCAAGCTGCTTGCCGAGCTTCACGCCTTTCCTGAAGACTGTCGGAGGGTTGTCTCCTAATTCCTTCATTTTTTGATACCTTTCTGAAGGCGCCCCAGAGGATGGCAAATCTTTAGCTATTTCTTTCTTCACCGTATCTATCAGCTCTTTTATGTCCGCTTCATGGTATGGAAGCAGTTGCGGGACAAATGCAAGCAAGTAGGCACAATATCTAGACAATGTAACTGCAACATATCGGTCTGGACTGCTCCCATTCCCACTGCTCGGAGAAAGATGACAGTAGTCAGTTGCGATATGCCAAATCAGCATGATCTCTACTTGAGAATGATCCTTCAGTGTCCAATGATCCTTCAGTGCCCAATGCTCAAACATACTATTGCGGACCTGTGATGCTAGCCGATTGGTCTGCTCACCAAAGGTTGGTTTGATCGACCCAGCAATAGCTTTCTTTGTTTCAGGGGATATTTCAACAGGGTCTAAATTGCACTTGAAAAAAACCTCGTCCGGCAAAATAACTGTGTATTGGGCAATCCAATTCCTATTTCTCCTCTGGGGAGAGATTGAAACTCTGATGAGAAAACCGATCAACTTCTCAAGAAATGCAATTTGTTTATATTTGACATACACACAGCCAAGTGATACCTTGATCCAGTCTGATGCCAGATAAACTAATGCTTGCAGTAGTTCTACCACGAGGGCTGTACCAAGAAGTACTAGAGTAATGATGTAGTCAGATCTTGTAATTTGTACTTGTACGATAGGATCGGGAGTCTCAATAGTCACAGAGCCTTGAACAGTATACACCAGAACCAAAGTAAGAAAGATTAGGCCAGGTTTAGATTGGGGTTAGGAATCAGTATTTGACACTGTAGCACTTTCGTTTGTATTTGACAATTATTGTCCAATCATGGCCTAACTAGGCTCAAAAGATTCGTCTCGTAATTTACAATCAAACTGTGTAATTAGTTTTTTTTATCTACATTTAATACTCCATGCATGTGTCCAAAGATTTGATGTGACGGAGAAAGAGTGAAAAAACTTGCAATTTAAACAAGGCCTTACTCTCAAGAGAAACGTTAGAAAGGGCATCACCATATTAAAGTAGATGTCGTGATATTTTGTGAAGAAGTCATAGCAAAAACCCAACTCCACTTCAATAATCCTGAATGCTCTTTCGTAATGCTCTTCAGTTTGAAGCAACCCATTGAAGACAAGATGGTGGGTTGTAGGAAGTCTCTCTTGGGCACTGGACAACCCCTTGTACCGTCGTAAGCAGAACTGGCACAAGGCAAGGGACAAGCAGACATTTTCCAATGTTTCTCCACGGTCCGAGTTGCCACAACAATCCCATATCTGGTCAATGGTTATGACCTGAACCTTAGGTCGGGGTAGGCAACGGATAGCATAGCCAAATTGGTACTTGTCGCCCTCCGTGGTCTCATGATCAGTGTCTTTCTGATGATCATTTGCATTTTTCTTCATGGATAGTTTCCCTCTAATGGATAAGCCAACAATTTCCATGGCCCTTGTCAAATAAAGGACCACTAAAAGACCAGAGATACAACTGGAACTTGCACTCCCGTGTGTCTCTCCTAAGAGCTGCAAACGCCTGGTCCATGATTCCTTTTAGCTATATGGTTTCAGTAGCGCAAGAAGCATAGCAAGGTAAAACACATACCGAGCAAAACCAGTAATCAACTGCATCAGCACCTTGTTCTTCTTGTCGTCGTAATCGAATTGGCTAACAGCAATCGTGCCACCCGCAGCCATGAGCAGTGATGCACCCCAGACAGTGTACATGGAATTCTTGACTGGAGAGGACTGCATGATACTAAGGGTGTAAAAAACGAGAGGGAGCAACGACGCGTTACACACCGCCAGGACAAAACTGACGATGGAGTTGTGCCACCGCCGCTTCCAGGCAGCCAACATAAGCTGGAGAAACAGCAGCGCAGCGGCCACTGCGACCAGAGCTTCACCTGGATGATCGTCCACCTTGAGTTGTCCAACAGATGGGATAAAGCCTCCGCTGCCCTCGTCCTTAGTAATCTTGTGTGTGCCGGTTAGTTAGGATTGCATGACATCTTTCTGTTTTAGCATGTTGCATGCGCGTGAGCCCCATGCTGTGGCGGCCGCGCGTGTAGGAGGTCGTGGCATGAGAATCGCTCAGCCACGCACCTGGGCATGCAGCCATGGCCTGCGAACGCGGTGCGTGAGAATGGCCGCGCACACTTCTCGCGTCGTGCGCGCTGTGGCGAGCACAGCTCTGTTCTTTGTATTCCAATAAAAGGCAAATAGAACTACGCTGCGCTTTCAGGCAGCACCAAAACCAAGTGTTTGCGTGTGTTGTGTTTGTTCTTGAGTCTTGTCTTCTCCGTCTCCGGCGCCGTGTCCTCGCCGTCGGCGTTCGCCGCCAATCTGAGACTAACAAGTGGCATAAGGGCTAGCTTTCGAGGGACCTCGATGTCGCCATGGCGTCTCCACCGAGACCCGTGGTCGTTCACTGGCCGGGAAGGGCGACGGCTCCAAGAAGAACGACAGTAGCAGCGGTTCCGGCGCCAAGACGCCACCGCGCACGTCTTCTCCGAGCTGTTCCCCTCCTCGTCATTAACGCACGCGCGACGCACGCCGTCCGCGGGAGGTCGTCATCGAGCGTATCATCCGGGAGGGCAGCAGCTCCAGCAAGCTGACAAGGACGAACTACCACGAATGGTCGCTCCGCATGAAGCTGAAGATGCAGGCGCGTCACCTCTGGGACGCCGTCGAGTACGACGATGTGGAGTTCGACGACGATCGCAACGCGCTCGATGCGATCTGCAGTGCCGTCCCGGCGGAGATGGTGCCCGCGCTCGCGACCAAGCTAACTGCGAAGGAAGCCTGGGAGGCCATCAAGACCCTCCGCATCGGCGACGACCGGGTACGGAAGGCGACCGCGCAGAACCTCCACACGGAGTACGAGGCCATCGCTCTCCGCAATGGCGAACCCATCGAGGACTTCGCCCTGCGCCTGGGCGGGATTGTGCAGCGACTGGCAACGCTTGGCGATCCCGAGCCCAACGAGAAAGTGGTGGCCAAGTACCTCCGCATCGTGCGCCCACGCTACAAGCAGTTGGTAATCTCCATTGAAACCCTCATCGATATCTCACAGTTGTCAATTGAGGAGGTCACGGGGAGGTTGAAGGCGGCCGACGACGTTGAGCCAGCTGCGCCACAGACAACCACCGGCAAGCTGCTGCTCACTAAGGAGCAGTGGGTTGAGCGCTACAAGCAGAAGGGACAGGAGTCCAGCCGCGGCGGCTCCGGCTCCGGCGGCCGTGGCAAGCGCCGTGGTAGGGGCCGTGGACGCGGCACCGGCGGCAATGGCGATGGAAGGTCCGGTTCCAGCTCGGGCCGTATAGGTTCAGATGACCCCTGCAAGCACTGCAGAAAAGAAGGGCCATTGGGCCAGAGATTGCCGCAGCAAGAAGGAGGAGCAGGCCCACGAGGCCCAGGACGATGAGCCCACTCTTATGCTGGCCATCGGTCCAACCCACGAGCAGGTGCGCTCGTTCCCCTTCGTGCTGCCGCCACAACCCACCTCCGTGCCGCCGCCGCTAGCTTCACCGCTCCTTCCATTCGCGACGACAAGTGATGGCGCCGTGTATGTCGGTCTGATCCATGAGTAGGAGAGCTCGCTCCCCTTCGCACCGCACGCCGCACACATCTGTGCTGCCGCCGCCAGTTCCACCGTGCCTAGCTACCCTGGTGACCCATGAAGGCGCCGCCCTCCACCTCATCCAGCAGAAGGTCCACGCCACCTTCGACGCCGTGGAGGACTGGGATCCAAAGCACTGGATCCTGGACACCGACGCGTCCAATCATATGTTGGGATCGCGCGCAACCTTCGTCGACCTTGACACCAGCGTCACTGGATTCATGTGGTTTGGGGACGACTCCGTCGCGCGGATCAAGGGGATCGACAGCGTGCTCTTCTCCTGCAAGAATGGCGAGCACCGGTCGCTCCCCAACATCTACTATCTTTCGCGCCTCACCGCCAATATCATCTCCATCGGCCAGCTCGACAAAGGCGGGTACCAGGTGTTGGTGGAGCATGGCGTGATGCGCATCCGGGATGAGGAGAGGCGGCTGCTCACAAAGATTGCTCGAAGACCAGGGCGGCTATACGTGGTCGACGTCACCATCGCACGGCCAGTCTGCCTGGCTGCGTGCACCGACGACGACGCCTGGACATGATGCTCGGTTCGGCCACATCTACTTCGCCGCACTGCGTAAGATGGGGCGTGAATGACTGATTCGTGGCCTACCTCTGCTCGATCAAGTGGAGCAGGTCTGCGAGGCATGTCTCGCTGGCAAGCACCGGCGAGCCCCTTTTTCCCAACGTGCATAGGGATTTTCAACAGAGGTGCTCCAACTGCTACACGGAGACCTGTGTGGTCCAATCTCGCCGGCAACTCCCAGTGGCTACCGGTATTTTCTCCTGGTCATTGATGATTTTTCCCGGTATATGTGGATCTCCTTGCTGTCTTCCAAGGATGCCGCTGTGACGGCAATCAAGCGTATCCAAGGGGCAGTAGAGCACAAGTCAGGCAAGAAGATGCTGGCCCTCTGCACAGATCATGGAGGAGAGTTCGTTGCGGTGAACTTCGTCGAGTACTGCGCCCAACTCGGTGTTCGGCGCGAGCTCACGGCGTTGTACACGCCCTAGCAAAATGGCATCATGGAGC